TGATAGGCAAAGCAACCGATTAATGTGTCTTTCTCACACCAATGTTTTCTTCTCTCTTTCTCTCTCTTCCTCTCTCTAAAATTAATTTTAATTAATTAATTAATCTAATTAAGTCCAGGCCACACATTGCTGACACAACGCTGCTTAGAGCCTGAAAAAGTGGGAGCCTTTTTTAATCCATCCGCCCAGACCTAGAGCAGCTTCTAATTTGCACCAGAAATATGCCAACAGAAGCCTTGCCCTTCCCATCCCCATACCCACCTAAAATGTGACACCCTTGCACTTCTTGGCCCCAAACAGACTGAGAAAACAACAAAACCCTAAGCCTAGAGGCTTATCATTTATTCATTTATTCAACAAATATTTATTTAGCCCCTACTGTGTGCTCTGGAACATTTTCTTCTCCCTGGATCCCTGGGGCTGCCTTTAATCTATCTATTCACCCTTGCTGGCCCTGCCAGCCTCTAGTTTATAGTGTCTACTGTTTATTTATTTATTTATTTATTTATTTATTTATTTATTTATTTATTTATTTATTTTAGAGAGACAGAGGAAGGGAGAGGGAGAGAAAAACATCTATTTGTTGTTGTCCCAGCCATCCAGGCACTCACTAGCTGACTCTTGCATGTGCCCTGACCAGGGATCAAATCCATAACCTTGGCATATTGGGTCGATGCTCTAACCAACTGAGCTACACAGCCAGGGCTGTTTACTGTTCTTCAGTGATTTTCCACCTTCTGGTATGTGGGTGGCCATCCTTTCCTTCCAGAATAGAAGATTGTTCTACATTCCCCTGTCCCCCAAGCTTTACCTCTTCCTTTCTGGCTTAATTCAAAACCCTTAATTCCTTCGTTGCTCAGTTCCTCTTGCTTCTCCTCCCAGGTATCCTATCACCAAACTCACCACAGCAGCCCCTGAAGAGAGCAAAAGGGGCTAAAAGAAAATAACTCCTTTGTCTGTGGTAATGCAACTCATGAATTGTCCAACTCAAAAAATTCTGAAAAAATAATAATATTAATAATAATAGCTGGCACTTGAGACTGAGATTAGGGACAGTTATTAGTAATGACCAAGTCTAAGGACTGACCATGGGAGTGAGTGGCATGAGGTAAGATCAGAGCAAGGGCATTAGAGAGGAAAATGGGGAGAAAACCAAGACCAGAAAAAAATAACTGATGAGGATAAAACAGTCATCAAGAAGTATGACAGAAGTAATAAGGGAGAGAGGTATCTGAAGATAAAATCTTTTTTTTTGGGGGGGGGGGGCTTTAAAAATTATCTTTATTATTGAAAGTATTACAGATGTCCCCCTTTTCTTTTCCATTGACCCCCTCCACTACACACCCACCCCTCCCAGACCTTCACCACACTATTGTCTGTGACCATGGGCTATGCATATAAATTCCTTGGTTAATCTCTCCCACACACCCTGCGATGCCCACCTTCCTCTGAGATTTGTCAGTCTAAAGCTAAAATCTTAAAGAATGAGGGTGTGTGCCAAAAAAAGGAGGCAGTGGCCCTGGGTGGTGCTTCTCAGTGGTTAGAGAGCCAGCCCTCCCACAGAAGGGTCTCAGGTTCGATTCCAAGTCAAGGACACGTATCTGGGTTGCAGGCTTGTTCCACTACCCCGGTGGGGTTGAGTACAGAAGGCAATCAATCGATATGTCTCTCTCACACTGATGTTTCTTTCTCTATATATATTTCTCCCTCTCTTCTCCCTTCCACTCTCTCTAAAAATTATTGGGGGGAAAAAATATCCTCAGATAAGGAATAAGAAAAAGAAAAAGGAGGCAGTGGAGGACAGTAAGGTGGGGTATAGTCTGATGACTTGAGAGTCAAGAGTTGGTGAGGAGAGCCCTAGCCGGTTTGGCTCAATGGATAGAGCATCATCTATGGACTGAAGGGTTTTAGGTTTGATTCTGGTCAAGGGCACATTCCTGGGTTGCAGGCTCGATCCCCAGTAGGGGGCGTACAAGAGGCAGCTGATCAATGATTCTCTCATCATTGATGTTTTTCTCTCTCTCCCTTTCCCTTCCTCTCTGAAATCAATAAAAATACATTTTTTAAAAAGGAGTTGGTGAGGAAAGATGAAGAAAGAGTCTGAAATCAATAAAAATATATTTTTTTTAAAAAGGAGTTGGGGAGGGAAAATGGTCTGGAACAGTAATGAGGATATCCCTGTCTTAGTCTATTCAGGTTCCTATAACAAAAATACCGTAGACTAGGTGGCTTATAAACAACAAAAATTTATTTCCCACTATTCTGGAGGCTAAGTCAGTGTCTGGTGAAAACTAGCTTCCTGGTTCATAGATGGCCATCTTCTCCTGTGTCCTCATCAGGCAGAAGGGGTAAGAGAACTCTCTGAGGTCTCTTTAATAAGGGCACTAATTTCATTCACAAGGGCCCCACCCTCCAGTACCATCACTTTGGGGGTTAGGTTTCAGCATATGAATATGGAGTATACAAACGCTTAGTGTATATACCCAGTCTGCTTGTAGGTCCATGATATGAGCAGAGAGGGAGAGAAAATGGTCATTATCTGCAAGGGAATTTGTGTCCTTGGGAGAACCAGGTCTTCACTGTAGCAAGAAGTTGAAGAGAATATTCAGAAAAGTAAGGTAAAGAGGGAGTGCTGTGAGGTCACTGTGGAACGGTTTCAGAAGTTGGGGAGGAGTGAGACATGGGGTGAGAAAAAGGACGTGCAAGGCCAGGTGGAGATCAGAGTCCAAAAGATGAGAGATGACCTGAGAGAACAGGATTGACATAAATAGGGAGAAAGGCATGATGGGATTAGTGCAGAACTAATAGCAATGCCACAGCTGTGGTTGTTGGGAGCCAGGGGCTGAGTGTTTGCCAGGAACACTCACAATTCTTGCCCGCTGCAAATTCACAATCTGTTGGGGAAGACCCATGTACAATGACAGAACAGTGCACTTCAGATTACCTTCGGAATTCAGACTGTGGAAGCCTACTGAAGAGGCACCCAACTCAGACAGGGAGGGCCAAGGAAAACTTGGGGGAGGGAGAAGAAAAGGGGAGAGGGCATGGGAGGGGAGAGGCAAGTGAGAGGGAAAGAGATAAAGGGGAGGGGAAGGGGTGAGAGAGTGGAAATGGCATTTCGTAAAACTATTGCCATCACCAGAAAACAAGAGATGCTTCTCTTACAGCAATGAGTCTTCATACTACACTTGATCTTAGCCAAAAACCAAGAAGCAATGCAATGAGTCTTGGTATAAATGGGCCATAAGTTGAGAAAGTTGTGCAATATTTTATACTCACATTATTTGAATAGTCTTTGATCTTGCTAGAATGCAATGTATTGCTTTTGGCTAGAGAACTTTGCAAAATTTACAAAGCAACGGGTGATAACAATATTATCCTTAATGTAAGTTGTAAAATTCTAAACAAATGTAACTTAGAGAATTTCTGAGGGTAAAATGTCAGAAACATTTCAAAGTTAGCAGTCTAATACATTTCTATTTCTCAGTTACCTAAAATTACCTCCAGTTATTTTTGGTGATGGGTACAGAGAAAATATTAAACTGGTGGAAGCTTTCCCGACTATCTAAATTAGTCAGATACCTTTCATGTCAGCATTTGTGGAGTGCTTCAGTGCCTCTCCTGGAATCCGCAAAACAACTTGAAAGATGATAATTTCCATTTTACAGACAAGCGATTAAATGCTCAGAAAGATCCAATAACTTGCCAGTGTTTCACAGCCAGTGAACAGCTAAAGCAAATTCACAATTGTCTGTTAAAGCAACTGCCTCTTCCCTGTAAAAAATAGACATAGGCCAAAACGAAGTCACTTTTGCAACCCATGTCTCCAAATCAAAACTAAATAACTAAATTTCACTCTCTCAGGAGTGAAAATGTAAACCAATCAGTCTGGAATTTCCTGATCAACATTAGTGAGGTAATCTACCTGACAAGATCCCCCAGCCTTTCCCTCAGGAAGGTGTCCTAGCCTAAAGTAATCCATTCATTCTTGTACAGGTCATTGGAATGCCCTTCTAGTTGCTAAAATGAGATGCTGCCCAATTCGTGAATCACTTAATAAAGCCAATTAGATCTTCAAAGTTAGTCAGTGAAATTTTGTTCTTTTCTTTTAATCTTTATTGTTGAAATATTACATATGTCCCCCTTTTCCCCCCATTAACCCCTTCTAGTCTGCCCCCACCCCCCTCCCCAGGCCTTCACTACCCTATTGTCTATGTCCATGGGTTATGCATATAGGCATACAA